CCGCTCGCTGCTCGTCGGCTGCCGGTTGCTGGCCGCTCTCCCGCTCGCTGTTCATCGGCTGCCGGTTGCTGGCCGCTCTCCCGCTCGCTGTTCGTCGGCTGCCGGTTGCTGGCCGCTCTCCCGCTCGCTGTTCATCGGCTGCCGGTTGCTGGCCGCTCTCCCGCTCGCTGTTCGTCGGCTGCCGGTTGCTGGCCGCTCTCCCGCTCGCTGCTCGTCGGCTGCCGGTTGCTGGCCGCTCTCCCGCTCGCTGTTCGTCGGCTGCCGGTTGCTGGCCGCTCTCCCGCTCGCTGTTCATCGGCTGCCGGTTGCTGGCCGCTCTCCCGCTCGCTGTTCGTCGGCTGCCGGTTGCTGGCCGCTCTCCCGCTCGCTGCTCGTCGGCTGCCGGTTGCTGGCCGCTCTCCCGCTCGCTGTTCATCGGCTGCCGGTTGGCGCTCTCGGCGGCGACGCGCTCTTTGTTTCTTGTGCCGATGGCATACGCCCTCGACGGCAGGTGCTGGATCACACGAATGCCCGGACACCGTTGGCATCGGGCGTTTCTATCTGGAGTGTGCTTGCAATGCATCGTGCGGGGACAGCTTGTGCCCGATGAGGCCTAGCGATGGGGGATGACTGATAAAGGGTGGCCGATGGGGGTTGTTGGACGAATGGCGGCGTGATGGCGATTTACGGTGGCGTTACGCAAGAAGATGGTCAATGCTGTTGTCGTCTGCGAGTTCGTACGCCAGGATTGGTGTGGGAACAAAGCCAATGCCGAACGGGTCGGTCGGATCATAGTAAATAGGGCGGACGAAATCGGGCATCGGCAGGGCGAGGGGGTCGTCCAGGTCGGCAACGTCAAAGATGCGGTCGTTCTCACAATGGGCAAACCAGTCGACAAAGGTGGCATCGAGCTCCAGTTTGCTGCTGTTGTCAGCCACGCACATCTTGACTTCATCCATTGGGGCCTTGTCTTTGGCAACAATATCCTCGTCGTCGTCGTCGGATAAGACAAGGTAGCCGGCAAAGGAGGGATCAAACTTCAACTCGCTGCTCTTGTCGTCCATGGACTTTTCGAAGATCTTGACCTCGTCCATGGCGACAACCTGGTCAACATCGGTCTCGCCGTCGTCGTAGGAGTCGTTGCCGAAGAAGGTCTCACTAAGAACGACCACGTCGGCGTCAACAAAGACGTCGGCGAAGGGAGCACGAAGCAAGGTAACGGCATTGATCATCTCCGCCGGCGAGCAAAAGTCGGTCAGCTCAAACTCGAGCTTGCCCGCGGGCGAGCGATCGGTGTGGGAGTAGACGCGGCGGGAGGCAGACGAGTAGATGCGCTCGATGTACAAGGAGATAAAAGTATGAGCCTTGACCAAGCCCGATGCATCAAAGCGCTCGCACTCCTCGCGGCGCTGGCGATTGACCCGGCCGTCGGCAATGCGTACGCCCTTCGAGTTGTTCCGGAAACGCACGGCAAAGACGGCGTGGAAGCAGGCAGCGGCGACAGCGAGGTCAAAGCTCTCGGCAAGAATGCCTGAGACCAGAGCACCGTGCTCACACGCGCCGCCGTTGACGTAGATGGTATCCTTCATCGCCTTCGAAATGCCGACGAGGCTGATGAGGCCATCTGCGTCCGAGTGCCGAGCAAAGGCCTCCGTCATGTTGTTGCGAGCCACAGCGCGGTTCTCTTTGTCTGTAAACGGGTAAACACACTTTGCAATGTGGCGGGCAGAGTCAATTGTATCGCAGGTGGCATTGATGTTGAACTTGGCGGGGTTGGTGGCCATGATTGAGCGCTTTGGGCTATTTGTGGCTGGTGGGATGAGAAAAAGCTCTCTCCTCGAAAGTGTGACATTTTCGCTCGACTTTTGTAGCCACAGAATTGCAATGGTTTTGTTCGGCGCTTTCTTAAAATAGCACAGAAACCGCAGAACAAAGTGGGGAGGAGCTGCGAACCGGCCGGAAGCGGGAAGCTGGGGAGGTGCAAGGCCGCCTGAGGTGTTTGTGTAGAGTTGGGACAGTGTGGGGTGGGGAGTATACTGGTCTAGTGAGGCTGAGTGGGACTGACGAGGCTACATGGGTTATGGGGGGCTCTGCGGGTTCTGGTGAATAATAACATTCGGCGTTACAAAAAGTGCAACAGTGTCATCGACCTCGCTCGACTACGAAACGATGGCGTAGCTGAGCCAGCGCGAGTCCTGCGGGCGTGGTGGGACCCATGGCGGGGGCGAGGTCGGCGAGTAAATGAGAATCAGCATCGACATGTACAGGTGGGGGGTCAGTGCTACCAGTCTTCACTGCTGCCTGTGCTATTGCTGGCCGATTCGTTCCAATCATGGTCGTAGTTGTACCGCCTCCGCGAGTACCGGGACTGGTAGGGCGATCGGTACCGGTCGAGCCGTGCAGTGAGGGCGCGTCGTTCAAACGGGGCCAAGTTGATGTAGCCCTCGACGTTGGACAGCGAGGTCTCGAGCCATGGCGCGCGGCAGAGAACGCACACCTTGCCGCCGTGCGCCGACCACTGCTCGAAGCAGCGCTTGTGTAGGTTCTGTCCGCACTGGCCCCGGCACCACACCACCGGATCCGAGTCCAGATCGTCAAAGCAAACTGGACACTCGCCGTCGACAGGCTTGCGGGTCACGCCAGGCGCCCCGCTTGTATTGCCGTCGCCGTCAGCATCGCCCTCGCCCAGCACGGCTGTCACGTACGCCTGCTGCGCCTACGATGACGCCATGACGTGCCGCGCAATGGCAAGGTTGGCAAAGACCACCTTGAGCTCGGACGGAAGCAGGGCGTTGAACAGCAGTGGCGAGCGCGATGGGATCTTAAGCACCTTGATGCCGACAAAGAGGGCGTGCTTGCACACATTGCCCTTCCCCGCGTCGGGGCACGAACACGTCGTCCTCTCGGCAAAGACCACGTTGTAGACGTTGCCAGTCGAGCCGGTGACTGCAAACTCCCCGCGCGGCACGTCGCGATCGATCGACGCCGAGAGGAGAAACAGCGGCTGGGACATCGCCCGCTCCTTCCGCCGCTTCATTCCAGCAGGAGCCCGCGCTCGCCAACGCACCGCGCGCTCCTCGACCTCGGCCGAGTCAGCAACTGGCTTCTTGGCCCGCTGCGCCACCGTACTCGTCCTGGTCCGCCGCCTCGCCCGGACTGGCGCCGCTGTCGATGCGCTCGATGCACTCGTCGTCGTGGACGACGCAGCAGTCGCTCCAGACAAGCTCTGTACCACCCCATACAACACGCCCAGGCTTTCGTCACCAATGATCACCGCATCGATCTCCGTGCCCGCGCCCGTCCCTGTCCCCGCGCCCGTCCCCACACGCCCGTCCAACCGCCGCGGGTCGGAAGTGGCGCCGTGACGCGGCAATGCGGCGGCATCTTCGACCTCGCTCGCGTCGACGTCCCGCTCGCGCTCGTCACGAGCCTGCGCTACGGGAGCGGACCGGCGGTGCTGAGCGTCGCAGTACGTGATGCTTACGCCGGGCTCACTGGTGGCTCACGCCCTGCTTCACGACCTCGTTCCGCAGATGGCCGAGCCCGACCTTGCCTGCGTGCTCACGCTGTGCGCGTGGTCGAGCCCCACGCGCCGCAGGTGGAGTTTGCGCTCAACGTGGCCATCAACCCGACGACGCAGCACCTCATCCTCCCTACGGCTCCCGGTCTCGAACGTGACGCTCTCGGGCCTCCAGTACGCGGCGCCAATGATGCCGCAGTCGTGCGCCATGGTCTCGCACCTCGCGCTGGGCCTCCGCTGCACCTCGTCGCTGAGCGCGAGGACGACGGTCGGCAAGCTCCGTCCGCTGGCGATGATCGCCGACTTGCTGAGCGCGCGCGCTGACACGTCGCTGGTGCTCAGCGCATCGCTGCCCGCCATCCATCCCGACGCGTTCCACGCGCCCGTCCCAGGCCTGCCGCAGCTCACCATCGAGCTCAGCGTCTCCGACTCGGACAACCTGGCATCATCGAGAGCGATGGCACAGTTCCAGGCCAACCTAGAGGCGACGGCGAGGGCGACGTGGAATGGCATCAACACGCTAGTGCACATCCTACAGTCGCTGATGACGCCGCAGGCGTCGATGTGCTCGCAGCTGGCGGCCGGCGTCGACTTTTTGCACGATGTCGAGGCTGTGGCATGATGCGGCCGCGGTGAACGGTATGCTTGAGCTCACGACGCCCGAAAGGAGCACGAGCAGCGTCTGGTCCGCTGACGAGTGGCTCCCGCCGACGCCGCCAAGCGCGGTCTCTCGAGGGCGAGCTGCGAGTGCGCCGAGGTGCCCCTCAACGATGTCGGTGAGGGACGCCTCGAGTTCAGGTGCGCGTCGGTCGGATGTGGCAGCCGTTGCCCTCGGTTACAGATGTGGTATCCACGCGGGACGAGTTGTTGGCTGCTCACACTCACTATCCGTGATCAATTACGCCCATGCCTCCGCGTCAGCACTCAATCCTCTACTCCTCATCGCCCACCACGCGCACGACCACATCGTCGTCGGCGAGCACCACCGCGAGCCGCACGTCGTGCGTCACGTGCGCGGCCTTTGGAACCGCCGACAAGTCGTAGTCGGCCACCTGTTCGGCAGCACGCTCGACGGCCCCCGCGAGCGCCTTGGGCCCGCTCCCCTTCACGCGCTTAAGCTCGATCACGAACCGCGTCGGCGACTTGACATGCTCCACCACCAGGTCGACCCGGCCCGTGCCCGCACCTTCCGAGCTCTGCCGGGGCGCCGCGACCTCGGTCTGCACACTCACTGCCTCGTTGCCCGTCATCCACAACAGCATCCCGCGGAACGCATGCTCGTCGACCCTCGACGTGTCCGCAATGCCCGCCGCGCTACGCTCGTTCAGCGCCGAGAAGATGTCCTCCCACAGCTCGGCCGAAGCCTGCGGCCCGGCCGCAAACGCCGCGTCGAGCGTCTTGAGCACCGCGTCGCGAAGCCGCTTCGGAAGCGCATCCCAGAACTCGCGCCGCACGAGCTCGTTCGGGATGCTCAGCTTGTCCGGCGGCAGCATCCCTGGCTTCTCGGCGAACGTCAGCGCGCCATGGTAGTAGAGGTACGAGCAGAACTTGTCCTCCGACTCGGACTCTACACCCTCCAGGTTCCACCGCATGAGGTCCGAGAAGCGGAACTCGTCCACTACGCGCCCCTCAAGCGTGTACGTCGCGTCCCCGCCCAGGAGCTTGGCGAGCGGTCCGGCACCAGCACGGCTCGTCGCCAGCACGCTCAGCATGGACTCTGTGACGCGCAGGTTTCGCGACACCAAGTCGTCCGGTGCAATGACGCCTCGCAGCGTCGCTTCCTTGACCCTGGCACTCGACGTGAACAAGTCCATAAAGTGGAGCGAGATCTGCGGGTTGAACACCCGCTGCGACGCGCCAGGGAACAGGTACCCGTTGTACCACTTGCGCATCACCGCCAGCGCCGCAGCAATATCACCCGACCCGTGCCCAGCCGTTGTGAGCCCGCGCTCGATGTCCCCGGACGTGAACCCGAAAAAGTCCCCAAACTCCTCGCGGAGCGTCAGGTTGCGCGCCACATTGTACGCCGACACGTCGGCCAGGACAATGGGTGTGAGCCCCGTCATGAGGAGCGTAACTGGCGCCCGGTCCTGGGCCATCTTGAACGTTGTCAGGAGCGACCGCAGCGGCGACGACGCCTCCTCGCCCGACACGCCCATCACGCTCCGCGCGTAAGCGTCCTTATCCTTCACCATCAGTTCGTTCGCCACCCGGTCGTACTCGTCGATGAGCACCATTACCCGCCCGCCCGCCCGGCCCACAGCGCCGACGACACGCTTGATGTCCCGCATCTCAAATGGCCGCTCCCTCTGCACTGCGAGATTGTACCGTTCCACAAAGTCCACCAGGGCGTCATCTACCGCATCATCCAGAAATGCCTGCATGTCGAACGACGCGCCCACGCTCGCGCTTGGCGCAAGGTTGAGCCGCAGCACGTGATGCGCCCGGGCGCCGGACGTGGGGTTCTCGCCGATGTAGAGCCCGTGGAAGAGCCGGTCGTGCTCGTCCGCCCCGACTCCCGCGTCGTAGTACGCAGCCATCATGTCCAGCATCAGAGTCTTCCCGAACCGCGGCGGCCGGAGCAGCGTCGTGTACCCGTCCTCACCGACGCGCTCCCACACCTCGAGAAACCGCGTATGGTCGACGTAGAACGCGCCCGACGCACGGATGCGCTTAAAGTTGGAGCGGCCGACGGGGAAGAACGCAGGGCTCACGAGGGGGGCGGGGGTGGGGGTGGGGGGGTGGGTGGCCAGGGCACGAGCCGGCCTGCGGAGCACGGGGGAGAGGCGGAGGCACGCACCCAGTACGTGTGCTCCTGCCCGGAGCATGGCCGTGGGGGGGGGGTGGGTGAGCGTGGGGGGTGGGCTGGGTGGGGTGTTGCGCGCTGGTCCGCGGGCCCGCGGCGCGGAGAAGGAACAAGCGGCAACCCAGCGGCAACCCATGCGGGCGGGAGACCCGACGTGAACTCGGAGACACCCTCGAGCAATCGACCTCTCGGGCGCGTCGCTAGCGGAGCGCGCGTGTATGTCGACCAGTATGCGCTCAAGCCGACCGTGTCGCGGCGTGGGCCAAGCTCGCGCGCGCCGCCCCGTTCCACGCGCCCGGGCCACCCCGTCCCCCGCTCGACGTCCTTCCTATCAACCTCCCGCACCCACCATGTAGCTTGTATGTGTGTGACAATGGTCTGTCGACCCGGTCCAGCCTCGGAGCGCCGCTTTCGTATCCGCATCGCTGCGTCCACCGAGCCAAGCGAGTACGCGTGGAGCTTGTCAGACCTCGCGTCAAGGCGGTAGCCGACGAGGTACAGCCTCTTCGGCACCGACTCGTCGCGCGACGAGATGAACCGCCCGTGGAGGGCGAGGAGCGTGACAAACGGCGGCAGGCCGTAGAGCGAACGGAAGGTGTTGAGCGCGTACGCGGCGGCCTGGTGCTCCTTGGCCGAGTTACCGGGCTCGAACATCGCGAGCCGAAGCCGGACGCCGTGGTACACGAGGCTCGCCGCAAAGTCGACGGGGTTGCCCGAAAACGTCGGTGACTGCGCCTCGACCGCAAAGTACGTCGCGGTGAGCGCCGCAACAGATGTCCGTGCCTCAATGTCCGCCTGCGAACTCTCGTTGCCGCTCGCCGCAGAAGTACTCGCACTTTTGCGGCGTAGTGACCGGTACCAAAGGGTAGGCGTCCTCACGCGAGTGCAACAGCACCTGCGACTTGCCATCCTCGTTGGCCTCCTCAATCTTGCTCGCATCGCGCCGCACAGCGCAAGCCGCGTTCTCCAACGCCTCAGAAAGGCCGGAGACATGCGCCTCACGCAGCATCTCGCGGCGGCAGAGATGGCTCGAGAGGACCGCGTTGTGCGTCTCCTCCAGGTGTACGTTGCGGGACGCCGACGCCACGCTGCCCACGACACCGATCCAGTCGCCCGACGGCCTCGCCACCAGCCGCGCCAGGTCGACTTTGAGCGCCTCAACAGCGTTGGCGTCGACCGGCCGGGGTTCCCACACGCTCTGCCGGAGCGTTCCCATCCCGCACGCGGCGTCGAAAAACGACGGGTCCTTGCCTGCGTTGGCCACCACATCGTCGTTGTGGAAGACGCAGTGCTCGTCCATGATCTCTCGAGTTGCCTTCGACGCCCCGGCGACGACGGCGAGCGAGTCGAGCGACGGCGCAGCAGGCGGGAGAGGTGCAACGTCCGGCCCGAGGACGAGCGACGCACGCGCCGCACGCAACTGGGCCTGCACCACCTCCGCCTGCTTTCGCTTGGTCTCGAGCTCATTGTAGGCCCTCTCCAGCTCGTCCTTAGCTTCCTTCAGCTCGTCCTTAGCTTCCTTCAGCTTGGCCTCGGCCTTCTCCAACTTGGCCTGGTTCTCGACCGCTGGACGCGCAAGGACGTCATCAAGGTCCTCGGCAAGCGCTGCGACAACGATTCTCGCTCACTACTACATGCAACGTCGTCGTACTTTCACACACCAGTTCGGGCGCCAGCGTCAGTCGACATGTACAGGTGGGGGGTCAGTGCTATCAGTTTTCACTGCTGCCTGTGCTATTGCTGGCCGATTCGTTCCAATCATGGTCGTAGTTGTACCGCCTCCGCGAGTACCGGGACTGGTAGGCCGATCGGTACCGGTCGAGCCGTGCAGTGAGGGCGCGTCGTTCAAACGGGGCCAAGTTGATGTAGCCCTCGACGTTGGACAGCGAGGTCTCGAGCCATGGCGCGCGGCAGAGAACACACACCTTGCCGCCGTGCGCCGACCACTGCTCGAAGCAGCGCTTGTGTAGGTTCTGTCCGCACTGGCCCCGGCACCACACCACCGGATCCGAGTCCAGATCGTCAAAGCAAACTGGACACTCGCCGTCGACAGGCTTGCGGGTCACGCCAGGCGCCCCGCTTGTATTGCCGTCGCCGTCAGCATCGCCCTCGCCCAGCACGGCTGTCACGTACGCCTGCTGCGCCTGCGATGACGCCATGACGTGCCGCGCAATGGCAAGGTTGGCAAAGACCACCTTGAGCTCGGACGGAAGCAGGGCGTTGAACAGCAGTGGCGAGCGCGATGGGATCTTAAGCACCTTGATGCCGACAAAGAGGGCGTGCTTGCACACATTGCCCTTCCCCGCGTCGGGGCACGAACACGTCGTCCTCTCGGCAAAGACCACGTTGTAGACGTTGCCAGTCGAGCCGGTGACTGCAAACTCCCCGCGCGGCACGTCGCGATCGATCGACGCCGAGAGGAGAAACAGCGGCTGGGACATCGCCCGCTCCTTCCGCCGCTTCATTCCAGCAGGAGCCCGCGCTCGCCAACGCACCGCGCGCTCCTCGACCTCGGCCGAGTCAGCAACTGGCTTCTTGGCCCGCTGCGCCACCGTACTCGTCCTGATCCGCCGCCTCGCCCGGGCTGGCGCCGCTGTCGATGCACTCGATGCACTCGATGCACTTGTCGTCGTGGACGACGCAGCAGTCGCTCCAGACAAGCTCTGTACCACCCCAGACAAAACGCCCAGGCTCTCGTCACCAATGATCACCGCATCGATCTCCGTGCCCGCGTGCGCTCAAGCCGACCGTGTCGCGGCGTGGGCCAAGCTCGCGCGCGCCGCCCCGTTCCACGCCGGGGTCCTCTAGCATGGGCCTCGTTCTCCCAATGTCATCGTTGCCCGACAGAGTGCACTCGCTTGTGGACCCGTGGCTCTCCCAGCGGCGCTTGCGTTGGCGACTTGGCTCTGCCGCTTGTGCTCTTGATGTGGCGGTAGCTTCGGCTTGGGCTGCCGCTGATGCGCCATGTGCCAAGCTGGCGAGTGGCAGGACAGCATGGTCGTCCAGCTCGGTAACGGAGATGGACACGGGCTCGGCAAGTGGGAGAAGGACGTCACCGTCGTCGCTCTCTTCGAAACTGTTCATGGTGTCGACTGGTGGCTATGGAGACGTGTGAGGGCGTGTGAGGGCAGCTGTGCAGGCAGCAGTGGCGGAAAAAGGTCGTAGTCTGCAGCTCTCCGTGAACATGGTTCTTGCTCCGTCAAGACATCGTGCTCGCTTCGCCGACCACACAACACAAACGCAGCTCGTATGGCCGGGTTGTTGTATGGGAACGTGGCTGTGGCGTAGCTCGGCTGAGACAGTAGTGTGGGCAGGATGGTGGCAGTCGGCGATGGCGGTGGCGAAAAAAGGTCGCAGTTTCTCGTGCTCGGACCGAGCATGGCAGGTGATGCGGTGAATCTTAAGGCGGGTCATACTGAGCAGGCACAGAATGGTCTGCCTGGTACAACCCAGTGTGTGGCGCCGGATAGAATCGGCCTACACGGTGTGCGTATGGGATTAGAGGCGGCGCGGCGTGGAGAGATAGGCCGAGAGGAGCAGATTTTCTGTGCTAAGATCATTGTTTCTCACGCCATGGACATGAACAAACACATTACCTCTTGATTCAACTTTGTTTTCTCGTCTACCACATACATTGCCCTTGCAACGTCACGTAGTTGAGTTGCAGAGGGGATACAAAGCCATAGATACAGCTGCGGCCGTACGATGGTTCGAACGATAGCCGTAGATACGACTGCGGCTCAGTGATGACCCGGAACACTAGCTCAAGCGCTAACTCGAACGATAACTCGAACAATATTCCGAACGATAACTCGAACGATTACAATCACGATTGCGACCGACGACTCGGAAGGCGGACAGGCGACCAGCGAACATGGGACAGGCAGGCGTGGGGGGGGGAGAGGGTGAGGCGAGAAGAGTGCAAGTGAGCAACACTCGAGTGTGTAAGAGAAGAAGAAGGAGCAATGGCGTCAAACGAGGAGAACAACATGGTGTGAGGGACAGAGGCTGGCGGAGCAGCAGCAGAGGGAGGCCAAGGCGGGGAGGCAGGCGGTGACCAGGTGGTCATCGACCAGGCTTCCATTGACAACGGTACGGCGTGACAGAGGGCACACACAGGCTGCGGGCAGGGAAAGGGAAGGGGGAGGGAAGGGGGAGGAGATGGGGAGATATGGGGAATGTGGTACTGTCTGTAGGGGGATGGATGGCGGCGTATGTGCGTTGCCAAGGCCTCGTGTCCTTGCTCTGGTCGGCTACAGGCCAGGCCACATCGTATGGCTCGCTCGCCACACTGCTCGGCTCGGTCGCCATGTTGCCCAGCTCGCGATATCACTCGGCTCGCCAACTGCATCGCCCTGCTCGTGGCATTACTTGCCTCGATCGTGTGTCGCTTGTTGTGGTCGTGATCTCGGACTCCGCGGGGGATCGCGGCCAAAGGCTATGCCGTCATGAACTCACGCTATCGTACCTGCCGCAGCGGCCTTTGACAGAGAGATCATCGCGCAGCAGGAGCGGATCCGTGAGGAAGAAGTGCTGACCAAGCCGTATGTGGGAGATTTGGTTGCGGTCACCGAGCTGAGCTCAGAGTACGAGACGGCGTCCGAGACGCTCCGCCGCAAGCTTGAGCTGCTGCCGAGCAAGTTCCAGTGGATGCGGACGACTCGGCCGGACGGCAACTGCTTCTATCGCGGCTTTGCCTTTGGCCTTTGCGAGTGGCTCATGACGCTGGCGGAGCCCGAGGACGTGACCCGCGTCGTCAGCGTCTTTGAAGCCTCCAAGGCCGATCTCCTCGCCGCCGGCTTTGACGAGTTCATCGACGACTTTTGGGCCATGACCATGGCTCCGCTCCGCGCCATCAAGGGCGGCAACTACTCGCACGACGATCTCCTGGCTTGCTTCCGTGATCAGGAGCGGACCGAGTACATCGTCCAGTTTATGCGCTTCCTCGTCTCGCTCCACCTTGCCAAGAATGCAGACTTCTTCCAGTTCTTCATCGAGGGTTCGGGCCTGTCTGTCGACGAGTTCCGTCGCATCGAGGTTGAGGCTGTCGGCCGCGACGCTGACCACGTCCAGATCACTGCCCTCACCGCCTACCTCGACCTCGCTGTCCGCGTCGTCTATCTCGACCAGTCCACCACCGCCGACGGCGCCGCCTCGGAAATCGTCATTCCTGATGGCGGCCGCCCCGTCTGCACTCTCCTCTACCGCCCGGGCCACTACGACGTACTTTACGAGTAAACGCCTCATTATTCCCTCCGTCAAAAGCCCGAGCCGAATGAGCTGCCTGACGATTCGGCCGACCCCAAAGCTGGCGCGGCGTCGGGCAGTGCCTGCTCCTTGTCCTTGGCTTTGCTCTTAGCCTTGGTCTTGGTCTTGCTCTTAGCCTTGGTCTTGGTCTTGGTCTTGGTCTTGGCCTTTGCCTTTGCCTTTGCCCTTGCCTTTGCCTTAGCTTTGCTCTTGCTCCGCTTGCGCTCGAGCGTCCCGCTGTGCTCGGTGGAGGCCCGTTGCTGTCGGCCTGTCTTGGCTTCACCATCACTATCGGCGTCGGCCTTGGCCTTCGCCTTTGCCTTTGCCTTTCCGGCCTTGCCTTTGCCCTTGGCCTTGGCTTTGGTCTTAGCTTTGGCCTTGTACTTGGACTTGGATTTGGACCGAGGACATGACTCGGGCGAGGACGATGTGGCGTCGAGGACGCGGACGTCTTCGCCGGGATCTCCGGTTGGAGTCGAGACCGGAGCGCGGAGGCCATGTCGTGGCGGAGTGAGCGACGACGAGGGAACCGAGACGATGCCGGCGTCCGAGACACGCCGAGCAGCGACGCATCGCGACGATGAGCTCGACGAGCCGGCCTCGGACGACGACTGGACCGAGCTGGATGATCCCGACGGCTGGACCGAGGTTGACGACAACGAGTCGCCGGGTCGACTGCCGACCGCGGCGTCTCCGGTGTCCGCGTCGCCGGCGACAAACGCTGAGAGCTGTTCCATGCCCTGGTACAGCGCCGAGCGGTAAAAGTCCTTAGAGTGCTTGACATCGTCGTTGACCGGGATGCGGATCGGGTGCTTGAGAACTGGCTCAGTAGCCGAGTTGTGGAACATGCGGACAAAGGGGTGACGGAGGGCGTCACGGACTGAGATTCGCTTCGCCGGGTTAAACTGCAGCAGTCGGAGCATGAGGTCGACGCCCTCGAGCGAGGCCGACGGGAACTGCTCGGCAAACGAGACGGTCTTCTCGGCGGTGATGCGCTGCATCATGGCAGCGGCAAAGGGCGACTCAATCGACGCGAGATCTTCGTCGGATGGCCGCCCAATGAGATTGAAAATCCGCTCGAGCTGATTGAGCGTTGATGAGCCGGGGAACAGGGGCTTGCCCACAAGGAGCTCGCCAATGATGCACCCCAGCGACCAGAGGTCGATGCCCACTGTGTACTTGGGGCACCCGAGCAGGATCTCAGGCGCACGGTACCACCGGGTCGCCACGTACACCGTCAGATCGGCCGACGTCGGCAGGTCCTCGGAAGTTGTCGCCAGCGACCGCGAGAGCCCAAAGTCGCAGACCTTCAGCTCGCATGTCGACGAGACGAGCAAGTTGCATGGCTTGAGGTCACGGTGCAAGAGCTTGCCGGAGTGGATATACTTGAGCGCCCGCAGCGTCTGGTACACAATGTACTGCTTGTGGACATTCTGCAGGATCTGAGCACGGATGACCGAGTGCAGATCGGACTCCATGTACTCAAACACAAGATACAGGTCGCGGTTGTTAACCGCAGGGTGAACCCCGTGGAGCTTGATAATGTTGGTGTGTCGCCGAAGCTGTGTCAGGAACATGACCTCACGGTAGGTCCGCTGCGCATCGGTCGACGAGTAGAATGCCTCAAACACCTTCTTGATGGCCACTACTTCGCCGGTCTCCTTCCGCACCCCCTTCCATACGATTCCGTATGAGCCCTCAGACAGTAGCCGCTCGATGGTGTACAGCTCCTTGATCGATGCGTCTACCACATACCGTGCCTCCGTCTCGCCGCTCTCTTGGCCCTCGCCCCCGAGCCCGAGTGTCGCAGAGAGCGCGGACGTTGACTCGGACTGGCTTCCTGCCTCGCCGCCTCCTGCCTTGTCTGCACCATTCGCCTTGGCAGGCGATCCCATACTTGGCGATCTGTCCACCCCTCGCAGAGTATCCCCTTGCTGCGCATTCCTCCTCTCCCAGTGAGTCTCTGCCGTACATCTTGGCCATGACTCGTGCAGCGTCAAAAGTCACCACAAGCTCCCGCCTGCACCAGATCGTCCACCGTCCCCCCCTCCCCCACCACATCGTGGCCAAGTGCCTGAGACCCCAGACACGTCTGCGGTCAAGCAAGTAGAGCCAGCGTCGGCCACGCCACGTCAAGAACTGCTGGCGCCAGCCGGTGGTGACCAACGCTTGTGCTTGTTGAGTACGAGAGCAGAGCTTCGTCAGCCGAGTCCAACGTGCTGCTGGAGCGCGAGCCGATCAGCATCAAGTATGGACATAGCCTTGGCGACGTTGCGAGATGAGCCGAAGGTGGGTACAATGGCATATAGCGGTGGTGGTGGTGGTGGTGGTGGTGGTGGTGGTGGTGGCGGTGGCAGCAGTTTGCGCTGTCGCTGCTCACCCAGCCCCGTCGCCCCCTCCCCCCCTCCCCCCCCCTCTCCCATTGCCGCGATGAAACGATGGCGGTAGCAGGGGAGGGGAAGGAAGGAGGCTCGGTCGGTAGGGGGCAGAGTATGGACTTGGTGGTGCAGGCGGCAGGCGGCAGGCGGCAGGGGGCGTTGTTCTTGGCCGATTCGGGTGGACTTGGGTCCAATTTGCGCATCTGGAAAGAAAGGGCGGGAGGAGGCCATATTGGCACCCCCATGGATACCGACATGGGATGGGGGGGGGGGGGGGGATGGGAGGGGGGATGGGGGGGGGATAGGGGGAGGGGGAGGGGGGAGGGGGGGCAAGGGAGTAATGGGAGGGGAGGACGGGGAGGAGGAGAGGGGGGGGGCAAGGGACACGGACGGCTGCTGCCGCGTGCTTGGCTCCCGTCGACGTACCGGTGGGAGAGAGAGGCGTGCGTTGCCAGTAGGCACGTGCTGGTCGAGGACATTGGTTGCGAGTTGGTCAACCGCGCCCAGACCGTCTGGGCGCGAAGCTCGGCTCGGAAAAGGGGGTGATGATGCCACGTTTAGCTATGCTACGCACACATGGGTGCTTAAGGCGCTCACCTTTGCTCACCTCGCTCTTGTTGCGGCAGTGTACCCGCGTCGGGCTTGGTGGCTCGCTGCCATGAGCTCCGTCCCGGTGGCAGAGGGCACTATTTTTGGGGTGTTGCAACGTTTGACAATCAACCTGTGCCGCACCTTGTGTATGGCGTCATGACCAAGAATATGCCCCGCAGCACTACCCTAGGTCACATGCGCGACTCTCGAAGCATGAACCATCTCTGCGGTGGCTCTGCCCCACCACCCGCCAACTGGCTAGTGTCTCGCTTCCCTTTGTGGAATCATAGCGTTGAGCTCGGTATGAGTCCGGCAGGGGGGGGGGGAGGAGCCGTTCAGCACACGTCATCAGGCCATCATTAGTCACACAACAATTGTGATGTTATTGGCTGTTACGAGGCCATTGGCAACAACCGTGACATGATCGATTGCTACAAGGCCATGCAGGTCAACATCACGGGCAACGATCGCGACGTGATTGGTTGTTACGAGGCCATTGGCAACAATCGCGACATGATTGGTTGTTACGAGGCCGTTGACAACAAGCGCAACATAATCGACTGGTACGAGGCCATTGGCAACAACCGTGACATGATTGGTTGCCATGAGGCAACTGTGATTGACATCGCTCGTTTCGTTCCTTCATTTGCCACCGGTTCATCGTTCCATTTCGCCTTCCACACACCGACACCAGATGACGGCACACTCAGTAGACCCACCATCTCCTTCCCCCCCTCCCCCTCCTTTGCTCTTCCGCCTGCGCCCGTTCCTCCACCACACCTCTCTCGCCCACATCTTTCTTTCTCTCTCTCTCCCCCCACCTTCTCACGACCATGTCTTTGTGGCGTGTCGTTGGCCTGTGCGGCTCGGTGCACGACACAAGCGCGCTCCGTGGCCTTCCCTTGCAGGCGCTGATCATCCGAAGCACCGGTCGCCTGGTGTCGCATACCGCGCTGATGTCACACTTGCTGAAGAACGAAGACGAGGCAGCACCAAGCGGCGACTCATTCGTCGTCTACCTCATCGATCCGACGTTCTGGGCCCGGCCGGTGCCGCGCATCGAGGAGACCATTGCGCCGCTCCTTAGCCGCACCGAGGAGCTTAGGACGGCTGCTGAGACTGTGGTGTTATGGGACGATGGTGAGTGTGACGAAGAGTGTGATGACGACCGTGGCATCGCCCTCGACGTCCTCGGGATGCACGCGAGCCGCATGCTGGAGAACCTCCGCGCTGCGCTCCGAACCTCAAAGGCTGCGCTCGAGCAGGCGGACGAGGCGACACAGCGGCTGGATCGGATCCGTGCGGCTGTCGATGCACACTCCGCCTACACTGCCCGACGGGCACGTGCGATGGCTCAGGCGCTCACCCTGCTCGAGCAGTCCCAGTCCGCCTTTGCACGGCTTGCGGATCATGTCATGCCTCTTGTTGCGGACGGATCGGTCCCGGACGACTCGATGCTGGCTTATGCGCATGGTGCTGATGCAGCGCAGACCAAGGCATGGCGTGCTGAGCTCGTCAGCAGTAGCCGCGAGATTGTGGCGCAGGCGGCGATGGTGGCCACAGAGGGTGAGCAGTGGCTGGCTCGGGCGCGCGATGTCGGGCCGGCAGAGCGGCCTGCACCCGGCCATGCGAGCCACACCACGAGCCTGGACAACATGATCGAGGTGGTCGAGGGGGCGAACATGGTATACAATGATATACACGCGCTCCCAACAACTGACCGCGAGGCTGCTGCCGCCGCTGCGGACAAGCTGCGCATCCTGCACTCGGCCTCGCTTGGGCTCCACAAGGAGATGGTGGCAATGGGCCTGCAGCTGAGCGGAAAGGCGGCGGAGCTGAGCTCTGCGATGGTGGCCGCATGCGCGACAGTGGCAAAGGTGGCGCAGCTGATGGCCAGTGGGCGCAGCATTGCCGACTCGGCTGGCCAGCTCTGCGCTGCCCTCGACCACAAGACTGCGGAGCTGAGCAAGTTCGCGGTGTTGTGGAAGGTGCCTGCTCTGGCCTACCGCACCATCTCGGGCATTGCAGTCGGCAGCGAGGCGCTCCTTCCGCTTGTCGCTGATCCGCTAGCGCCGGGGCCGGCGGCAGCCCCGAGTGACGTGACCATGACTCTATCGTGGCTCGACGGGCAGATGTGTGCCTCGCTCGCCACCTCGCAGGTGACCGACTCGATCATTCACTGCGCTGCTGCGGCAGATAGCTTGAGTAGCACTAGTGATGGCGACTTTGCCGATACCGACGTCGCCGCGCCGGACTTTGGTCTCAACTCCACGTATGCCGTTGTCGAGTCGCCCGAGCACGACATGGCCGCGCTCGCCGCCCACCACAACACCGATCTGATCCAGCTGGAGGCCTCGTTTGCCAACCACGTCGCGTGCCTGCAGGTTCTGGTTGATGGCGACGACGAGACTGCCACAAAATGCGTTGAAATTGCTTCTGCCAGAGCGCGCAGCGCCGAGCTGCGCGCACGTCGCGCTGAGGCTGCTGCGGCAGCAGCAGCCGAGGCTTCCGCCAAGGCCATCGCCAAGGCCAACAAGATCGCCAAGTCTGCATCACGCAAGCTCTCTCAGCGGCAGCATGTCTCACCGACCTCGGCAGCCGAGCTGGAGCTTCGCGCCGTCAAGGCTGAGCGCCGTGCCATGGAGGTGCAGCTTGCCGCTGCGCGCTCCCGAGAGGAGCAGCTTGTCCAGCAGGTTGCCGCCCTCCGTAATCAGGTCATGCAGGCACTGATGATTGACAGCAGTGATCCCGCATTGTAGCTGACGATGACCACCAACCGTATCCCCGGCCACGTGCCCGACGGCCCAACAAACGAACCATCGTCTATAACACAATCCGTCCGCCCGCCCACCCGCCGGCCCACCCGCCGGCCCACCCGCCTGTCACCCGCCAAGCCGGCGCCAACCGCCCACCCCACCCCGTCCCCGTCCCCGCCCCCACTCCACCCCACCCCACCCACCCACCCATGTCGCGTAGACGACCACAAACATCGGCGGCGGCACTCCCGCTGACAGTCAGCGCACCCGTCCGCCCGCTTACCGCTACCAGTGCTGCCCTCGACCGGCACGCCTCAGACGCTCGGGCCCGCCATGCCGCCCGGGCTGGGCTCACGCCCGACGCCCTCGCGCTCGCCGCCCGCACCCGCGGCAACGAGCTGCTCTCATCTTCGCTGCAGCAGACTAGCCGCCGCCGCTCCTGCCGCTCACCCTCACCGCTTGCCCGCCGCGCCGCGTCGCACCGCAACCGGGACGTCGACGCAGCAGTCAACCGATGGCGCGCCCGCTATCCGCCCGCCCCGCCGCCTGCCGCGCCTGCTCTTGCTGCTGCGCGCTCGACCGCACTCTCGCCGTCTGCCGGCTGGGCTGCCTCGTCACGAGTCTGGGGCGCCAACCGGGCGCCGCGCGGCTACGCCTTTCGCTATCGCCCGCCAGTTCGCCATCCACCACCACGCACCGCTGCAGCCGCTCGCCAACGATCGCGCTCGCTCTCGCCGATCGCCCGCTGGGGCGAGGCTTTCCGCCTGGCTGCTGCAGATTTTACTCACCTCCGCCCACATCTCACCAACGACGCTCTTCGCGAGCCGCTCCACGTCCCGCCGCCTCCCGACCCGACCGGCAACGGCTATGCTGCCACGTCGTCGCTGCTCCCGATCGCGTCACCCACGCCCTCGCTGACCGCCACCCTAGGCTCGTATGACTATCGCTACGGCACCCACTCGGCCTTTGCATCGTCGCTCTCGGCACTTGCTGCGCCCGTGGATGGCTCACCGCTGCCCGAGTCGGCCTCTGTGCGGGCCTCGGACCCAGCCCGGGTCCTGAATCACTCGCTCGAGTGCGCGCGCAGTCCGAGTCGCTCAAGCATTTACAACCCGTACTGGCCGCAGCCGTAAGCCTGGACTATGTATTGGGGCATGACGATGCCCAGTGACCCGGCTGCTGACACTTGTAGCAGTTGCCGCTACTCCCGCCACCGCCGCCGCCACCGCGACCGCCCGACCGCCCACCTGACCGTTCGCTGCTGTATCCGCCGCTTCCCTTGGACGGGCAGTTGGACGAAAGTGGCCTGGCTGCTGGCAGTTGTAGCACACGCTACCGCTGCTCCCGCCGCCGCCGCCGCCACCGCCGCCACCGTATCCAGATCCGCCGCCGTATCTAGATCCACCACCGTATCCCGAGCCACCGCCGCTTCCCTTGGACGGGCAGTTGGACGAAAAGTGGCCTGGCTGCTGGCAGTTGTAGCACACGCTACCGCTGCTCCCGCCGCCGCCGCCGCTTCCACCGCCACCGTATCCAGATCCGCCGCCGTATCTAGATCCGTCGCTGTATCCCGAGCCACCACCGCTTCCCTTGGACGGGCAGTTGGACGAAAAGTGGCCTGGCTGCTGGCAGTTGTAGCACACGCTCCCGCTGCTCCCACCGCCGCCACCACCGCTGTATCCCGAGCCACCACCGCTTCCCTTGGACGGGCAGTTGGACGAAAAGTGGCCTGGCTGCTGGCAGTTGTAGCACACGCTCCCGCTGTTCCCGCCGCCGCCGCCGCCGCCGCCGCCACCGCCGCCATCGTCATCGTCCCACGCAAACGCGTTGCACTTGCCGCATTTCCAGAATTGCCGCCCCTGGTTCTGACCAACCTTGCCGACAGTCCGCAGCGCTGCGGTGCCTCCACACGGGCATGGTCGCGACGTCGCAGAAGAGAGACTGCTGCCTCCACCGCCCCCATTTCCTCCACCGCTCCTACCACCTCCGCTGGTCGCAGCTGCGCGTGGGATGGTTGACGATCCGCGCCGGGCTCGCTGCGCGCCGGCTGCCAAGCCGCGCGATGACGATGACGACGCCAACGCTTTGGGCAGGACTGACTTGGAAAAGAACTTGGGCAGAGCGACGAGATTGGGGCCCGAGTCGGACGATGGCGCTGGTCCGGTAGGCGGCGCCGACTCTTGTCGCTTTGTCACCAGCCGCCGCCCGGTGCGAGTGGCAAAGAGTGCCGCAAGCGACGGGTTGCACGCCACGCAGCCCGAGGCCTCGGGGAAGAGATGCATGTGAGCCGGTGGGAGCCGCCGCGAGAGCGTGACCCGGAAGCACATTGCACCACATGTTGCGCATTTGGGCCCATCCAGCACCGGCTCGATCGACGAGACGTACGACGGCACCCACGCCGAGTTTGCACACTCGCGCCCGCGGCAGCCGAGCACAAACGACTGCCCGTTCTTCCCAGCCTGCGCCAGCAGCATCGGATGCATGCTGCACGTCGGGCACTTGTCGGAGAACACCACGGCACTGAGCGGGATGTCGGCGGTGGACGAGCCGTCACCGCCGCCACCGTCGCCTCCACCACTCCCACCTCCACCTCCACCTCCACCTCCGCCCCCGCCTCCGCCCCTGTCGGGCAGGTTCTCCATCCGCCGACGAACAGTCGACACAAAGATGGCGCGCGAGGCAAGAACTTGCTCAAACAAAGCACGATAGGCATTGACCGAGTTGGCAAGGACGTCGTCGTGCGAGCGCGTGCCCGACGCGATTTCGGCAAGCTCGGCCTCAGTAATGGCGCGGAGGTGAGGCTTGGCAAGGGTGAGGCCCATGGCCGTGTAAGCCTCGACGAGGGCCATACCGAGCGTGGTGGGCACGAGGCGATCGCCAGACTGCTTCACGACGTACTCGCGTGAGAGAATGGTCTCGATGTGCTGGGCAATGGTGGCATCAGTTCCGATCCCGTTCTTGTCCATGAGGGCAATGAGATCGGCTTCGGTGAGAAACTGCGGTGGCGTGGTCATGCCATCCTTGAGGCGGACCGACGACGGGGTAAACTCGGTTCCGGGCACAAAGTCTGGGATGGCTGATGCATTCCACGAGGCAAAGCGCGAGTAGACTTCGAGAAAGCCGCGCTCCTTGATGATGAGGCCGCGGGTGGTGAAGACCTCAGGCCCAACCTGGGCCGAGACCACGGTCTCTTCGCCCCAGGCGTCGATGGAGCAGACAGCCAGAAAGTGGCGCGAGACGAGCTCGTAGATCCGGGCCATGTCCCCGGAGAGGCCCGAAGCAGCCTTGGTTGGGTGGATTGGTGGGTGTGAGTGGTCATCCTTGCCGCCACGCCGTGGCACCGAGTAGCGCGGTGAGAACGTGCCGCCGCCGGGAGCGAGGAGCGAGCCGGCAAACGGGGCCCATGGCGCCGCCGAGTCGGCTTGCTGCCGCACCAGCGAGAGGAGGTCGGTGCCCTTGGCAAACGAGTTGGTCTCTGTACGCGGGTACGAGATGTAGCCCTGCGTGTAGAGCTTCTCGGCAATCTTCATGGTGTTGGCCGACGAGATGCGAAGCTTGCGGGCGGCGATCGACTGGAGATCGACGGTGGTGAGCGGGAGCGGCTTGCGGCGGGACTTGCGGTGGGCGTCGACGTCGAAGACGCGCGCCAACACTGGCTCGTCCATGACGGCCTCGAACAGGAGGGCGGCGGCCGGAAAGTCGAACAGCCGCCCGCGCCGCCAGTTAAAGTTGACCAGCATGGTCTTGTCCGGCGCTGCAGGATCGGGCAGCTTGGCCTTGAGCTGGATGTACCAGTACGGTGCCGGAACAAACGCCTCCCACTCCTTGTACCGGTCAACGACAAAGCCGAGCGTGGGAAACTGGCACGGACCGTATGAGACGAGCCGCCGGTTGTCGCCGGCAAAGTGGGCCGGCATGGCCTGCGAGAGCGTCATGGTCTGGAAGCGAGTAAAGGCGGCGCCGATGCGGAGATCGAGCTCTTGGCGGACTGTCACCGCGTAGACATCGGCGTAGTTGAGCCGGTCAAGATTGCGCATGGCGCCGTGGATCTGGGCCGGAATGAGAGCCGAGAACCGCGCCCGCTTAACCACAATGCCCGGGTTGGCCTGCGCCACCACGGCGCGGACCTCCTCGGCAATGGCCTCGCCCTCACGGTCACAGTCGAGCCAAAGAATGAGCCACTGGCACCGCGGCGCCTCGGCTCGCAGCGTCCGCGCAATGTCCGGCGACGAGATCTCGGTCACCACCGGTGCGCCGAAGAGCTCGCCGGGCGCCACCGCCCGCCACTTGCGGAACGTGGCCTCAAAGTCGATGCCTGCCAGATGGCCCGTCACCGACGTCATGACCATATCCAGCCCGGCCCCAACCCCGGGCTCGTTGTACCCAAACTCGTAGATCTTGTTGTATTTGGAGTATGTGTTGCGCGTCGAGTACGAGCCCGACGAGAGGATGCGGGCGACCTCCTTGGCCACCGACGGCTTCTCCGCCACGTTGAGTGCCCGGACCATGACGTGTGTGTGTGGGGGGGTGGGGAGGGTGTGTGTGGGGTGTGTGGGGTGGGGGAGGGGAGGTGTAGAGGGTGGGGTGGGGGGATGAGGGTGAGAGTGGGGTGTGGCCAGTGTGCTGTGTGTGGTGAGCCGCGTTTGACGCAGCCGCAAAAAGGTCGTGGTTTGGCACTCCCTTTCCCCCCATCCTCCCCTCATGCCCCCCCAACCACACCCCGCCCTCCACACCCAACACACTGCATGCCTCCCGCCCCCTTGCCGCGACTAGACACCCTGCCCGCGGAGCTGGTCCACGCCGTGGCTCATGGCTCGGGCGTACTGACCGCCGGCGATGTCGTTGCCCTTGCCGCCACCAACTCGTACCTCCATGCCGCCCTCCTCGGCGACGGCTACGCCCGCGCCCTGCTGTATGCCCGCGCCGGGCCGACTGCCTGCGCCGCCCGGGGCGAATGGCGTGCGGCCTATGTGGCGCTGACTCTCCCCCTCACCCCACCCGTGAATCGGCTGCTGCTCACCGCCGTGGCGGCTTCCGCGGCTGGTGCGACTGCCGACGCCGATGCCGATGCTGCACCGTGGCGGGAGCTTGTTGTGCGCACCTGTGCGCGGCACGCGTTGTTTGACCCGCGTGACAGCTCGTACCTGGTCTTGCGACGCGCCCTGGCTGCCAACAACGACGGCACTGTTGCCGCTCTGGTACCTGCACTCGGCGCCGATGCGGGCGTGTTGGTGCAGTGCAAGGAGGCTCTGCGTGAGGCAGTCCGCCGAGGGCATCTTGGCGTTGTCCGTCGTGTGCTATGCTCGCAGGACGACGACGATCATCGCGTCCATCTGGTGCTGTGTTTGGTGATGGACGCGGCCGCGGAGCAGAAACCGGAGATGGTGGCGGCGCTGATCGACATGGTGCCGGACGCGTTCACATCCCATCTGGAACAGAATCTGTTCGTCGGCATGCTGGGCTTCCAGAATGTTGTCTGGGCGCCGCACTCGCCCCACGCCCCACCGCACCTCCCGTTCTGCCCCGAGATCTTGGCGTGTCTGCTCAAGCGGGTCGGCCCGATCATGAGCGATAAGCTCCTCGTAAGCGTGTTGCATGTTAGTGCAGCGTGCCAGACTGTGCTGCTAGACTTTATGTGCCAGGCACAGCCCGAGCTCTACTCGGCCGTTGCGGCGAGCATGGCCGGAGACGTCGACGCTGTCCTCGCTGCGATCGACTCTGCCGACACCGGCGCTGGCACGCTGGCGCCAATGCTGACGGGCATTGCGGGTGGATGTGGCCAAACGGAGGTGGTGCGTGCTCTTGTTGCTCGGCTCGGTAGAGCTTGCGCACCCGTTGCATGTGGGGCTATCGTGCGGGCCGCCGGATGCGGCCACGCCGATGCGCTGCAGCTCCTGTTGGAGCTCGCAAGTGATGCCAGCAATACCCACCGGATGGCGCTACACGCTGCCGCAGCAGCCGGACAAGCCAAGGCGTTGGAAGTTGTGCTGGCCACCACCGGCTGCGAGGTCAACAATCAGGCTGCATCCGTGGCCGCGTTGTACGCTGCGGTCGGCTCTGGCTGTGCTAGCACGTTTTTGACGCTTGCGTGCCATCCACACATCTCTCCGGCCGCATGCGCACAGGTAGCTCTCGAGGGCTTTGTTTCCATGTGTGCTGCGGGCAACGTGAGCCTTGCGAGCGCGGTCCTTCCTGTTATCGTTAACCATACGCCGCGCGCCGAGCTGCGGCAGGCCGCTTCCGCTGCTGTTGCCGCCGCCGCCATTGCCGGCGCGCCGTTCATGGTATCGTGGCTGCTCGAAGAGTGCGGACTCCTGATCGACCGAGCCCGCTTGGTCGAGGTGCTCGCAGCAGTGTCAGAGCCTGCCGTTGCCGAGCCTCTCGCCGCATGGCTTGTCGCAGAGGCTGAGCCTGCCAATGCCGATGAGCCGGAGCCTTTGGTTCTCGCCCCGCATCTCCGGCCTCGGACTCGCGTCCGTGTTGGGAGCCGGGCCCGTGATCGGTCAGCCAAAGGCCGCAAGGGCAACGGCCGAGGAATGGGCAAGGCCAGGGGCGCAGCCAAGCAAGGTAGACCCAAGGCCAAGGCCAAGGGCAAGGGCGGAGCAGGCAAGTCCAGCCGTCGTCGGAACCGCGGTGACAGGTAGACCTCTGCCAAATTGGGTTTGACCCGTTGCTGCTCTGTGTTAGCCAAATGCGGGCAATTGACCACCACTTGACCGAGCCGCACTTTTGCCCGCTATGCTTCGGCCGCCGAGTCGACGGCGGCAGCAAGGAAAGAGGCACGGGCTTTGGCAGTGGAAAGCAGTCGTGGCGGTGTGTGTGGTGGTGTTGGTAGGCGTAGGGCTCCCGGTAGGCGCGATCCCAAAGGTGCAGCGGACGCGCGTAGAGGCTGCGACGGACACTGCGGTTCAACTGGCAAACGGAACGACGGTCGTTCCGACGAGCCTTGCCCTGAACGCCCCGCTCACGACGTGGATCGGGCTACGGTTTCGGCTCGAGGTCGGAGCCTCCGACGAGGTGGCGGCGGCTGTGCTCTCGCTTGTGCCTGCGCAGACGACGTCCGTGAGCAGCGCCTGCGCCGTCGTCATCCACGTCGAGAACTCGGCAACACCTGCACCGTTCGGTGCGTCGGACGGCGGCGTGCTCTCGGGCCGCTCGCGTGCGCCTCCCGTCATCCCATGGACGCTGCCGGGTACCACCGATGTCTGCGCCAACGGACAGCTTGAGACGCCGACAGCCACCTCGCCGGACCTCACGCCGCTCCTGGACCACGTCCGGGCCCTGCCCGGCTGGACCGCAGGCGGACACGTCGCGCTACTCATCGCTGTCCCGTCGTCGTCGTGCAAGGAGAGCGACGGCGGAGCGCGCCAGTTTGCGGGCTACGTGCCGGACACCACGTCGTGGTACGGCCCGATTGCGGCGCCGATGCTGCAGGTCACGTCTATGTGTGCCGACTGCGCCTCAGTCCTCACGTTCCCAGCCTCTCTCCCACCGACTATTTTCCATGGATCTCAGGTTGTGTTCACAGCAGGTTCTTCCACCGAGGTATCGGTCGATGATGGCTACGGCGAGATGCCGCTGCTGGTGCCGCTGGATGCAGACTCGCCGGCGGCGGCGGCGGCATTTGAACTGAAAGTAAGCTCGGGCATGGGCACGGCCGGAACAGTGTTCGCTCCGACCGCTGATGTCTTTCTCGGTCATGCTCTCGCTCAACCGTACGTCCCGGGGCCCGGCACACCGGTTGTTACCCGACTGGCGTTTGCGCCTCTTGGCGTGCCGCCCAGCGGGCGGATCGTCTCGGCCTCGATCGTGACCGCCGCCGCCAACGAGACGCTCGAGGCCGGTCCGCTCAATCTGCGGGTTCGAGCTGAGGCGCTTGACGCAGTGCGGGCGGCACCAGGAGCTGCAACCGGCGCTGGCGCAGACATCTCTTCGCGGCAACTCGGGTCGGCCGATGTGTACTGGACAATGCCGAGTACGTGGCCGCGCGGCGAGCGGGTGGCATCACCAGACCTGGCCGCGCTATTCAACCAGGGTAGCGTGCTGAACTCTCCCGGATCCAGCGCCGTTGACAAGACCGCACTGCATCTCGAGGGGAGCGGCACACGGCTAATTGCAGCTGGCTGCTCGGAGCTAGATATTGTGCCGTTTCTGGAGGGCGTCAGCACACTTATGCCGGTGGATCCGGTGCTCACGCTCGACGCCACTGGCGGGACGCTGACGCTTGCCACCTCGTCGGGTATCTTGTTCACGACCGGCGATGGTACGGCTGATACCCGAATAGTGGCGTCGGCGACCGAGTCAGTTCTCAACGCTGCGCTCAATGGCCTGCGCTTTGACCCGACCCCGTCCGGCGGGAGCCACAACGCGAGTGTGTGCGCAACACTGACGCGCGCGACGGTCGGCGCAAGTCCCGGCGGCTTCTCAGCCCTGCGCTTTGTCTCGGCTTCGCCGGCGTCGATGCTGGACGACGCGATCGACGGCTCGACCGGAACCGTTAGCTCGGGTAGCCCAAGCGTGGGCTTTGACTCTGCGGCACCATTCTACGCCCTCGACGACGGCCTCTTCCGCGGCTACCTTGACCTTGCCGGTATCCTGCCAGGTGACTCGGTGACGCTGCCGGCAGCACTGTATGCCGTTGGCCACCGCGATTTGAGCCTCTCGCTTTGGATGCGAGTTAACGCGCCTACTTTCCACGGCGTTGCACAGCCTAGCATTCTTCAGCGCGGCCCTACGTCTCCCACGAGCGGCTCGCCTGGGTGGGCGCTTGCGCTGGATGCGAACTCCGAGACGATTGTGTTCACAGTCTCGGACGGCGCGGTAACTCCGACCGCGACCACAATTTCAGCCGATGTCTCAACAGAGCTGGGCGCCGAGGCTTGGTTCCACATCGGGGCACTGTATTCGGCCACGTTCAAGGTCCTGCGGCTCTATATTAACGGCATTCCTGCACCGCTTCCGCTCGGTACTGCTGCGCTATCGGACGCGTTTCTGGCCGAGATTGCCACCGCAGGCGGCTTTGCCCCAGCCACAGTGATCGGCGGCGAGTTTGATGGGCATGTGGCCGACATTCGTGCCTTTACCGTTACTCTCCCGCCACAGTTCTTTGCCCACTTGGCCCAGGGTGTGTCGGGAACGACAACTACGGCATGCGTGGGCACTCTGGTCACGCCTGCGCCGCCACCACCACCATCTCCGCCACCGCCGCCGCCATCTCCGCCACCGCCTCCTCCTCCGCCGTCGCCTCCGCCACCATTCCCGCCACCCCCTCCGCCACCATACCCGCCGCCTTTTCCACCGCCACCGTCGCCACCGCCACCACCCGCGCCCCCGCGCCGATTGCTGCCCGTCCGTGTGAGTCCGGCGTGCGCGACTGCGCCGGAATGTGCAACGGTTTTGCCCGGCTCGACAGGTGTGGTGTGTGCGTCGGTGGCCAGACCGGGCGCGTTACCAACGCGACGATGGACGATTGCGGGGTGTGCGACGGGCAGAACGAAGACAAGGACGACTGCGGGGTATGCTTTGGTGGCGGTGCAGCCAAGGACGCGTGCGGGTGTGCTTCGGCGACGGGCGGAGCTGCGCCGGATGTGACGGTGTCCCGAATAGCGGCTTGGTGTTCGACGTGTGCGGAGTGTGCGGCGGCGATGGCGGGACGTGTATCGGCTGCAATGGACTGCCGATGAGCAACGGCGGTGCGATTGTTGACGCATGTGGTGTGTGCGCTGGCGGTGCAACAAGTTGCAACACGACGTGTGCACCCGGCGGAATGCAGTACGACTGCCTCGGGGTGTGCGGCGGCGATGCGAGGACGGACGGCTGCGGGGTGTGCTGGTCGGCGGCCGATAGTCTGGCGTTTGCCGATCTCCATCGCGACGAGTGCGGCATATGCTTTGGCAACAACTCTCTACAGGACACATGCGGCGTGTGCGGCGGAGGCAACGCGGACGTCGACGCCTGCGGGGTGTGCTTTGGTGGCGGACAGGGCAAAGATCGCTGCGGCGTATGCTTTGGCCAAAACTACACCGTCGACGTCTGTGGCGTGTGCTTTGGCGACTCACGGAGCTGCCTCGGCTGCGACGGGCATCCTAGCTCGGGCCTCGAGCTCAACGCGTGCGGTGTGTGCGGCGGCGGGCCATGTGGGGAAGCGATAGCGGTCGACGCGGCGCCGAGTCCTGCTCTTCCGATGATCCTGGTTGCAAGTGCCATGGTCGGTCTCTTTTTCTTGCTCTGCCTGGTGGCAGGTGTGGCCATCCGGGCTCGCCGCCGGCATGCAGTTGCTGCGGCCACCAGCCCATTACGGCCGAGCGGACCGGCTCTGTTTGTGGCGGTGGCGGGGAGTGCGGCGACCACCATTCCTGTTGGTGGGGTGTGCATCGACACGTGGCACGAGGTCTCGACGTACAAGACGTGGCAGCTCGACGAGGTGGTGCGGGCGGTAGAGAGCGTGCTCGACTGCCACGGCCGCGCCGCGGTGGCGCTCGACGCACGTCACGCGCGCACTTTTGTCGAGTCCCATCTCGTCGATGGCGTGCTGATGTCGCGGGCAGCGATGAAGCTTGTTGAAGATCGACTGGCGGCATCGTGCTCGATCGAACCAGCCGACTCGCTCGAGAGTAATGGTGGCGATGGCGACGGAGTGGTCATTATCCGTCGCGCCATGCCCGTACAGCCGACAATTATTATGGCCAAGCCGAGTCCCGATGCCAACGAGCCCGCACTCGCCGAGCTCATGCTCCAAGCTTCTTTGTCAGAGGCGGACCCGCCTAAGATCCGCCCCGCCACCAGCAACGCCACGAGCAGGAAGCGCTCGCTCACGAGCCGGATTGATAAGCTCAACTCGACAATAAGTTCTGTCCCGCTCCGCCGGCGATCGATCGCCCGCGACGCCATGTCGGACAACGGCCTAACCGTGACGCGACCAGTCAGCAGCGGGCTCGTCCGCCACCGATCGACGTCAGATCCAGGTGGCATGGAGGAGGCGGCACTCGCTGCCAAGCGCTCTCTGCTCAAGGCTGCCAGCGGCAAGCGCAACCGGCGACGGAGCATTGCGGCGGCGCGACTGACAGCCGGGCGGCGCCGTAACTCCCTCTCGGTCTCGAGTGGAACAGGGACTCGCGGAACTGAGACTCGAGACGAGCTTGAAGCGAGCCAGATTGACATGTACGACAGCGCGTCATCAGTTGGCTCGATTGCTTTTGCATCATCCACAGTGAGCATGGCACCATCGGCCACGCTGTCAGCTGCCGCGTCGGCCGCCCCCACCTCGTCGCTTCCACCACGGGCTCGCAAACTTAGCATGTCACGGACGCTGAGCGGGCGCCGGAGCGAATTCAAGGTTCAGGTCCGTCCGAGCGTTCGCTCTGGGGCCACAATCACAGTCCCTTCGCGGTCGTCGCGGTCTTTCCGGTCCGGATCCACAAAGTCCATCACTTCGGGCGTCTCGCGGTCGCGATCAAGGTCGAGGTCGGGCCTGCGCGACACTGACGACGACAGCGTGGTCTCGTCGGCATGGAACTCTGGCAACCTTTAGCATGATTTACGTATCTCTTGATGATAAAAGGAACGAGCCTGGGTCTGGTTGGGTTATGGCTGGAGCGATGAGGCCCCGGGTTGCGCGCAGCCATGTGTGTGTTCAGTGGCGCCGGTCGGCTTGACTGAGTGGGTCGGGGCTTTGGGCCGACTGTCGGCCAAGCGTGGAAGTAACAAACAGTAAAAAAAGCTGCAAAATGTGACCAAAATTTACCAAAATAATCATTTTATATAACTTGACAGGCAATCACAACACAATTTTTGATATTGTTAGTTTGAAATATTGAAATATATATTTTTGCATTTGTGTTTATATATATTTATGATCTGGCAAAGTTTGAGGTTGCCTCGACCAAATTTGTCGGGCAGTCCGCTATTCGCCATTTCCTGACCTTCTCGCCCACATCTAGCCCTGGAAACCCAAGCACCATGTAGTGCATCCTGCGACCATGATGGAGACCTTACGTTTATGTCCGTAGCATGCCTGTAGCGACCACTAGACTGTGGCGAAATGCGCAACCGATGAACTCGCCCCGCCCGACCGCGCGTGTACAGAGCCGAGAGGCACGGCCGAAACATCCGCAACAATGACATGACGGACCCAGGCGAGCATAGTCGACCGAGCGTGGCATTGCACTCACCGCCGCCGCCTTTTGCCAGCTTCTCCAGCGCATACCGGATCGAGCCAAAGACGCCAGCGGTGACAACACCCTTGGCGATCTGAACCTTGGCGGCGGACCCGCCAACGATTCCGCGGATGGCCGAGGCGAGGGTGGCGGCCGTGGCGGGGGAGGCCAGGCCGCCGGGAGTGAGACCGGCTGAACCAGAAGGCAGTGCACGGGCGACTGCAGACGGGAGTCGCGGAAGCTCGCGCTGCGGTGCCAGTTCCCAGCCTCCATCTGCTGAGCGCTCAAACAGCGGCGAGGCATCAAGGCGTGGACCGTAGAGGGCGTCAAAGCCGTCGCGGTTGCCGGCGACAATATTGGGGACCTTGGAGGGAGTCTCGGCGCCGACCGCAAACCGCGGATCGCCCATGTACGAGAGCGAGGCAATGGCCTCGTAGATCCGCGTGGCGGGGAGCGAGTCGCTCGCAGGTGCAGCGCCGAGCATGATCCAGCTCGCACGCAGCGCGGCGTCGACATTGGCGTCGACTGCAGCAGTGAGCTCGATCGGTAGCGGCTCGACGCCGATCCATGCTACGGGCTTGTGCAGCCGACCAGCAAGGTAAAGGTGTGACCACGAGGTGAGGTCGTCCACAAGGGCAGCGGCTTCGACGACGCCATACTTGACCTTGCGGCCAGCAAGCTCGACGTACGGGTTGTAGTACACACCCATGCCCCAGCGTTGGACGGCGGCCAGTGCGCGCGGACCCAGCGCGCGCACGCCGCCGTAGTGCATCGCCAGCTGCGGATCGGCCAGCGCCTCGGCATGCCATGCCACTGCATCGTCCACCACCATCACCACGTCCAGCATCGGCTGCTCGTCGGCTGCATAGCCGCGCTGCCGGAACGCGCCTGACCCATATGCAAATGCCGCCTGCCCGCTCGGCAGCGCTGCTACCACCGCTTCCAGCTCCACCTGCCGCTCTTGCCCGTCCGCCTGCTCCAGCCGTGCCATCCGCTCCCACGTCCGAGTCGCGTGTTGTCGCGCCATTGTCACCGCCTCCCCCCCCCCCCCCCTTGCCCCCCCCCCCTCCCACACCCCACTCACTCTACACCCCACACTATGCCGTGGCAGGCTCTCGGGGGCTCGGCTCCGCCGGCACCACCGGCGCCGCCAGCACCCGCGGCGTTTGTGCAACCGACACAGGTCCCGTGCTTCTCCACCGACGCCTCGGGCATGGTGCTGGTGATCTCGGCGGCGGGCGCCATGTTCGCGGCAGGGCTCGTGCTGTGGCTGGTCGTCCTCCGGCGGCGCTTCCCGCACGTGTACTTCTTCAAGCCGCACAACCGCCGTCCGACGGCGTACCGGTCGTGGGCGACGCAAGCGTGGTCGAGCTCGTTCACCGAGTTTGAAGAGTTGTGCGGCCTCGACGCGGCGCTGTACCTGCGGACCCAGGCGTACCTCATGTGGTTCCTCGGCCTGCTCTCCGTCGTGACCGTCGGCCTCCTCCTGCCCATCACTTTTGGGCCGGCCGCGAGACGTTGCACGACTGCCTCTTCCAGTACACCACCGCCGTCCATATTGCCATCGCCTCGCCGCGCCTCTGGCCCATGGTCGCCGTCACCTGCCTCACCGCTGCCGCCACCGCCGCCCTCCTCTTCCGCATCGGCGACATGTATCTCGACGCCCGCCGCCATCACCTCGCCCGCAAAGTCGTCCAGAACCAGTCGGTCTACATGTTGGGCCTCCCCACCTCGGTCGTTGACCCTGCCGCCCTCGCCACCGCCCTCGCAGCACACTTTCGCTCGCTTGACACCCTCCACGCTTGGGTCGCCATCGACTGGTACGCCGCCGCCTCGGCCTACCGCCGCCTCGACGCCGCCCGCGCCGGCCTTCGTCTCACCCATGCCCTCCTCGACTCGGCATCAGGCGACAGCCGCGACAACCGTGACAACGACGCCGCCGCCTTGGAGCACGCGCCACTGCTGGCGCACTCGGCCGCGCCGCCGCCCCGCACTATCTCCCGCTGCATCTGCCGTGGCTGCTGCTGCGTCCGCGTCGACGCTGGGTCGCACTTTGAAGACGCTGCGTCAGACGCGGCTGTAGAGCTCCGCGCCACCCTGCTCTCGCACACTGCGTGCGGAACTGGCGTCGGCTTTGCCACCTTTGCCACACCGCGCCAGGCGTGGCGCGCCACCAACGAACGCTTTGCCGCCACACTCGCCCGCGAGAACCTCTCGCCCGACGAGGCTTCCATCGTCGCCGCCCTTGAGCACGGCTCGGTCGCCATCCGCATGGCCCCTGATCCGCAGGACATCATCTGGGATAACCTCTCGGTCTCGTGGTCGTCGAAAAAGCTCCGCCAGGCCGCCAACTATGCCATCCTCATCGCGCTCATGCTCTTCTGGCAGATTCCGGTCGGCCTCCTTCTCTCGCTCAACGTGGTCATCGAGCACTCGTCGGCCTTTTCCTCGCTCGGCGACAAGCCCGGCGCCCACATGGTCTTTGCCTACCTCATCCCGTCGCTGCTGCTTATTGGCTTCCGAGTTGGCCTCCCCTACATCCTCATGGCGCTCGCCGTCCCGGAGCGGTTCCACTTCAAGTCGACGATGGAGCGTGCGGTACTCAAAAAGTACTTTTGGTTCCTCATCGCCAACACTCTCGTCCTGCCAATGCTTGTCACCTCGACCTCGTCGGCTGCCTCGCAGCTCCATGACATGACGTCCAAGGACGTGCTCCGCCGCCTCGCGGCCTCGCTCGGCAACTCGTCGTCGTTCTTTATGTCCTACGTTATCATCGTCACCTTAGTCGTCACTGTCGCCCGCTTCTTCCGTACCGGCCCTATCCTGCTCTACCTGTGGAAGACGTCCGGCAAGTACGCCTCACTCCCATCCGACGCGCTAGCCTCGCTGCTCGGCGAGCCGGAGGCGTTTGAGTACTACGTCGAGTGGGTCGACGGCATCTCCATCTTCACCGTTGCCCTTACCTACGCCACCATCGCCCCGCTCATCGTCCCCACCGCTCTCATGTACTTTGTGTGCAAGCACTTTGCCGACCGCTACAACCTCCTCTTTGTTCACCCGAAAAGTATGAGTCGGGAGGCTCCATGATCCCGCACTGCATGGTCTTTATCTACGCCTCGCTCGTCATCTTCTCGCTCGCCTCGATGGGCTTTGTCCTCGCCCGCGGCTCAGCCGCCCAGGCCGTCGTCACCTGCATCGTTCTGCCCACCATCCTCGCCCTCACTTACGCCCGCATCCACTTTCCGTTTTCGTCGTCGACGACAATCTCCCACGCGACGTCCACTCGGGCCTTGACACCCATGCTCTTGCCGCAGACTTTGCCGGTGCCTACGTCAACCCCTCCGCCATCAAGCTTGAAGCCGAGCTAGACTCAATCGCCCCGCGCTCCTCGGCCAACGATCTCTCGCTACCGCGCCCAGTCCCTGGCTCGCTCTTTGACTCGCTCCACGACGTCGATCTCCACCTCCACTCGCCACACTCCATCTCGCCGCGCTCCATCTCGCCGCGGATCTCGCCGCGCTACCCGTCGTCCACCGACACCTCGGACACCTCGGCCGAGCCCTTGGCAACCCTCCCGGGAGCCCTCACACTTACCGCATCCGCCGCAGCACCCGTTGCGCCTACGCCACTCCCCATCACCGTCCCACACTCTGTTCACAGCCTCAATTAATCGTTGCAGGCTACCATGCCCCAAGCTCACACTCGGCCACCAGCGCGCACGCGACTCAGCTCACTGCTTCGTCCCGCCACCTTCAGGCTTCCTCCCCCCGGTCGTCGGACCTCTCCTCTCCCACACCCTCTCTCCCATCTCCACCTCACCCCACTTTGGCTCCCCCCCCCCCACATCGACCTTTTCTTTCACTCCCCCCTCCCTCCCTCTCCCCCCCTCCCTCCTTTGCCCTCCTTCCCCCCCCCCCACTCCTGGACACGGTACGCGCCAGCCAGAGCCTGTGAATGGCTGGTGAATGAATGAACATTCAAAGTTGGCCGCCATTGGCGCGCGTTTTAGCAGGCAACCACCACCCACCGCCCGCCGCGCCTTTGTCACGCCACTCACCTCCTCCCCCCCCCCCCCCTTCACCCGCAACCCGCACAGGGCAGCCTTGCCATGCCGAGCAAGCTCAAATTCACTGTCGTGGCATGCTCCGGCGAGGACGACGAGCATCCTGTGGTCGAACTCGAGCGGCACACGCCGCACACCAAGGGCTGGCGCTCGCCGCGGTTCTGTGACTACCCGCTGGAGATTGTGCTCGCCTTTGACGCACCCGCTCGCATCCGCAAGCTGCAGTTCTACTCGCACCAGTACCTTGTGGCGACGAAGATTGAGCTGTTTGTCGGCAACCTGCCGCCGTCCAAGCCGCGGGCCCTCGAGAGCATCCAGTACCAGCGCCTGGGCTACATGTCGCTCGACTCGAACCGTAGGACCGAGTACAAGGCCCGAGAGCTCAAGTCGGTCCACATCGACGCCATCGGCGAGTTTGTCAAGCTTGTTGTCCACAAGTGCCACATCAACAAGTACAATCTGTACAACCAGGTCGGTCTCATCGCCATCAACGTCCTCGGCGACGTCGTGCAGGCCGCCCAGGTCGACGCCGCCGCCGCGCGCCTCGGCCTCGTCGCAGCTGACGCTCCGCCGGGCCCCGTCTCAGGCGCCATGCTCCACGACAATCCGGCGGTGTGGGGCCTCATCAACAAGGCCTCCAACGTCGATCCCATGGACGACCTCTCCTTTGACCTCTCGTTCGACGTCGCCACTGCCCGCATGCTCCGCAAGCTCGAGGCCGCCAAGGCTGACGCTCAGCGGGCTGAAAACTACGATGCGTGCCAGCAGATCAAGCAGCAGATTGAGTTTCTGAAGGAGGTCGGTGTCGAGCTCGCCGCCCTTGAGGCCCGTAAGCTTGCTGCTGTCGACCGCGAGGCCTACGACGAGGCCAAACGAATCAAGGTAGAGATCGACCGCCTCCGCCAGCAGGCCTTTGGCTCGGTCATGGCCCGTCCGTCGTCCGCACTCGCCACTCCGCGGAACGTTCCGTCCGAGGCCTCGCTCCCGCACTCGGACGCCATGTTCCTCAACGACCACAACCCATCGGCGTCGTCGTCAGCTGGCCCACCACCGCCGCCACTGGCCCATGGCGCACGCCCTCTGCCCGCCAACCCTGAGCCGGCACCACCGCCGCGCCAGCAGCATCACCAGCAGCAGCCGCGCCAGCAGTCGCGCCAGCAGCCGCGTCAGCAGCAGTCGCGTCAGCAGCAGTCGCGCCAGCAGCCGCGCCAGCAGTCGCACCAGCAGCCGGCCTCGCCACCGCAAGACTCCGAGTACTCGGCCGGCTCGCCGCCAGAGAGCCACGCTGCTCCGCAAGGGGGATTCATGGTTGTCGAAATGAGTGAGCTCAACGAGGACTCGGTTCCGCCGCCGACGCGGACTGCCCCGCCTGCAAGCGGCGACCCATCCGAGCGGCCGATCCGCCCGGCTCGCGGCGCGGCACAAGCTCCGGCCCATTTTGAGCGAGCCGAACAAGACCAAGTCGCTGACGCCCCGCCGCCGGCCAAGCGTGCGCCGCCGGCCAAGCGCGCCCCACCGGCCGAGCCGCCTCAGCGCGCAATGTCTCGAGGGTCGGACGACTCGCGCGCCTCTCGCGCGATCAAGCCGGGCGGCAGCGGCGGCGGCTTTGAGGCCACCATGCAGGCCATGGACGCCGGCTCGTCTGACGCAGAGCCACTGTCCAAGGCCAAGGCCCAGCAGGTGGGGCACCTTATCGAACTGTTTGGTGAGGGCACGCTCTGCATGCTGTACTCAAAAAAGTGGCAGCTCCGCAAGGCTGCTCTCGAGCGCATTACCACCGCCGCCATTCGCGGCGACTTTGACAACACCGCCTCGCCAGCGTCGCTCCTCTCGGCGCTCACCGAGGTTCTTGTTGTCGGCCTCGAAGATCGCATCGCCTCTGTCTTTGCCGCCGCCATGGAGGCCATGCCGCAGGTCCTCAACGCCTTTGCCGACGCCGTCCCTGACTCGCAGCTCACTACCGCCGTCAACGCCTTTATTACCACCCTCCTCGCCAAGTCGGCTAACGCCCAAGCTCGTGTTGCTGACTCGGCCCTAGAGGCGCTTGACGCCATGTCGTACATGCGTGTCGTCGGCGCCGAGCCTATCGGCGTCCGCATTCTCAAGCAGGTCAAGCCAGGTGCTCAGTTCCGTATCATCCTCGCCCGTCTCCGCATTCTCACCGCACTCGTCACCGCCTTTGGTCTCGATGCCACCACCGTCGACGTTCACGACGCGCTCGACTTTTGCCACACTCACGCGTTTAGTAACGCGTCCAAGGAAGTTCGCACAGCCGCCGTCAACCTTCTCTGCGCGCTGTACCCGCAGTACTCCAGCGCGGTGGAGGACGCGCTCGACAAGCGCATCTCACCACATCTGCTCAAGGAGATTCGCGCGGCACTGCCGGCGGGCACGCAAGTTGCAGCCAGCCAGGGCGGCGCAGGGCGCGGACGCGGACGCGGACGTGGACGCGGGCGCGGACGAGGTGCAGAGCGCGGGCGCGGACGTGGGCGTGGGCGCGGGCGTGGGCGCGGGCGTGGACGCGGGCGTGGACGCGGTGGCGCAGGTCGTGGACGCGGGCGAGGCCGAGGCCGAGGCCGCGGGCGCGGGCTCACTTCGCAGCTGCCGCCTCCGGTCGACGACGACGAGTACGAGTACTACTCAGAGGACTCCATTGAGGTGGACGTGGTGCCGGACGCGGACAACCCTCACGCGCATTCGGTCCGCATCTCGCCGGGTAAGGGTCGGCGCGGGCACTCGCACGGGCGGTCGGGAACCAAGGACATCAACATCAACATCAATGTCAACCCAGGGATGTCACCGCCGGCGCCGGGTGCCGGCCCGGCCTCTGGCCCGCCACCAGCCAGCACCACGCCGCCGCGCGACCGGGTCGACGCCGATGGGCTGCGCCGCCCGCGGCGAACCTCGTTCGATGAGGGTCCTTCCATCAACATCACGCCCGAGCGCCAAGTGGCGACGCCGGCCCGCGAGGTCAATCAGGAGGTCTACTCCAACGACTGGAACATCGACCAGACTTGCATCTTCTGCGGCGAGAAGAACCCCACGTTCACCAAGCGAAAGCTTGACGAGCACTACTTTGAGTCATGTCCCGTCCTCACCGCCTGCCCGGCCTGCCACGAGACCGTCGAGGTTGCCTCGCTCCACGAGCATCTGCTCGAAGAGTGCGAACGCCGCGGCTCGTATAAGGTCTGCCCGCGGTGCAAGGAGCCGGTCCACAACACCGACTATCCATCGCATGTTGCCGCCCGCGAGTGCCTCGTCGCCAAGGATCCCAAGCGCTTCTCGCGCTGTCCGCTCTGCCACGACGACATCCCCCCGGGCGAAGAGGGCTGGGTCCAGCATCTCATGGTCTCGGGCTGTCCCGAGAACGAGCGCACCCGCAGACGACTGTAGTTTCAGCGCGGTTGCCGCGAAAGCCGACTAGTATCAGCCGGTGATCATTGAATGACGATGCCGACTGTGCCTCCCCGCCGCGATGCCCGCCTCAACACACAACAGCCCCCGCAGCCACACCCCACTCGGCTCGAGGCGCAGCGTTCGGCGCCACTCCAGGTCCTCGCTCGCCACTCGCTCCACAGTCGGCCGAGTCCATGTCGTTCTTTGCCACACATGCCTACTCTCCGTCTCCCCGTCGGGCCCCTTTACCCCAACGCTTCGGTACGCCCCTATGCCTTCCCCTCCCCCTTTCCGCGTCCCCTCCCCCTGCCGCCGCCCAGTCCGATCACTGCCCCCCCCCCTCCCCTCCAATCACCCCTCCCCCCTTCCCCTCCCCCTCCCCCCTTCCTCACCCTCCTTCGACATCCTTCTCCACAGCCGGCCGCAAGTGGTCGCAGCCCCCGCAAGTCGCTCTCGTTCGACAACACCTCGCATGGCCGGTTGCGCTACGATTCGCGCGAGCTGACGCCCGACTCGCTGCTCGCCGACTTGGATCTGTCGCCGGCGCCGGCTCCTGCTCTGGCCCGGCCGTCGTCGTCGTCGCTGCTCTCGGCTGCGGTCCGCGAGCCGGTGCCCCGCCATGTACATACTCCTACGCCCAATAAGGCGCCGCGGAGCAGGCTGGCGTCGCCAGCACTGGCCAGTGTTGGGCGAGTCCGCCGCAGTGGGCGGGTGGGCCGGGTGGGCCATGCCGGCCTCTCGTGGGGCACACCCGAGCCGGATGCCGACCGCTCGCGGTCACTGTCGCAGTCGATGGCTTCGCTCTCGTTGGCTCCGGACTTGCGCGGCCAGGCATCACCGACGCGGCCATCGTCTCGGCCATCGTCGCGGCCATCATCGCGGCAGCTGTCTCGGCCGGCGCGGCCGGCACACCCGCCACGTGCCGCCAATCGCAGCGGCTTCCGAGTTGAGCTGGACTCGGATTCGGAGAGCGACTCGTCGCAGTCTTCCGACATCGGGCTCCTTGCGCCGCATGCGGCGGTGTTTGCGACTGGATCGAGCGCGGGCAGCCGAGCCTCGCCGCCGCCTCGGTCGCGGGCGGGTGCTGGCTCGGGCGCGCCCAGCGTGAGCCCGACCCGCACCTTCCGCGCGCCGGTCCTCCACGTCGACGTCGACGACCCGAGCGAAATCGACTCTAACGTGCGACAGAGCGCGATGTCGGCGTCGGACGACGGCGAGATGTCGGACGAGGTGCTTGACTCTGCAAGCATGTACGCTGGCGTGGCCAGCAGCATTGGCGCACACGGGCAAGGGATTGCGCAGCGCACGCAGCGCATGCCCCCTCTCCGCGACCTCACGGTGGAGCCACTGCGGCTCATCGAGGACGAGCGGCAGGCCGAGGTGGCGGCGTCGCAGGCACAGCAGACGGCGTCGTGGACGGCGCACGAGGCCAAGGCGGCAAGTACGGCGGCGGCGCAGCTAAAGTCCTCGCTTGGCGCCGCCAACAAGGTCCATGCCGCGCTCGCCTCGCAAGTTGCCGACGTCAACGAGCGGACCGACGTGGCGCTTGGCTTGCTCCGCGTCCAGCTCCGCGAGCGGTTCGAGAGCGAGAACGCAGACGGTGTGGCGCGGGTCGAGGCGTACCTGGCGGCCAAGGCCGCCGAGGCAGAGCGGGTGGCACTGGTCCTCGACGCCATCAACGACGCCGTCGCCGAGGTGATTGCAGACGTCGCTGCCGAAGCCGCTGCCGATCTGGCGGCCGAGGTGCTGGCTGCGGCCAAGGCCAAGGCGCAGGCTGCCGCTGAAGCCAAGGCAGCCGCTGAGGAGGCGGCCAAGGCTGCGGCCAAGGCGGCCGAAGCGCAGGCGGCCGAGGCGGCCGACCCCAATCTTCGCGGCGAAAAGATGGAGGGCTATCCGGGGCGCGAGTTTGCGTCCGGGCTGGCGTACATCGAGTACCTCGAGCTGTGCAAGACAAGCGCGACCGCGCAGAATCTGGTCAAGACGACCGAGAGCAACCCCAAAATGGCCGAGGCTGCGGCAGCCATCAAAAAGGAGGTGACTACCCGGATCAACCAAGTCTCGAGCGAGCCGCGCAAGATTGCCCAGCTCTGGCAGGTCTTTGACTCGTTTGCCAAGAGCATGTCCGGCGAGGTCCAGAACCTGCTGTTCCAGATGGTGGCGACGCAGGTGGTGACCCAGGGCCAGCAGGTGGTTGGCGGCAAGCGGACCAATGTCTTTCCGCTCGCTGTTATCTGCGCCCGCCTCGTCCGCGACTCGCCGAACATGCACGCCATCATGCGGGCTGAGTTCTGTCGCCGCTGCATCTACACCGTTCCGCTGACGTTTGACAAGGACAAGGTCGGCAAGAACTACGCCCGGCTCATCGGGCGAGTCGGCGGCGAGAACGTCGAGCGGTATCTGGAGCGCATGAGCGGGTACTTTCAGATCTTTGTTGCGTACTTGGTCTCGATCCCAGACGTTCCGTCGCTGTGGAAGGTCCTTGCCCGCCTCCTCAACCTCCAGCCCAAGCCAGTCATCCTCGGTTGCGTTCACTCGCTGCTGGACATTGCCGGCTTTGTGCTGCAGAGCCAGTACCCGCATCAGATGTCCAAGATCGTGACCTACATCCACACGCTCTGGCTCCCGCTTGCAGGTAACGACGCGTTTTCGACCTCGTGTGCAGGCCTGCTCGCGCACCTGCTGTCGTCGCCGCTTGCGCCACCGGCCGACTACATCGCCCCGCTCTCGTAGGCGTCTGCACCTGCTCTGCTTTACTGGCAATCCTACTGCGGCTGCACAAGCTCGCCATTTCGGAAGTCGATAAACGCCTGCATGATCTCCTCATCGGTGTTCATGACAAACGGCCCGTGGCGAGCCACGGGCTCACCGATCGGCTTGGCGCCGACAAGCAGGAAGCGCGCCGGCCCGCCTACGGCCCGCGCCTCGACCGCGCCGCCATCGTCAAGCACGCCGAGGGCGTGGCACGGCACCGTCGTGCCATCGACGCTCACTTCGCCATCAAACACGTACACAAACGCGTTGTGCCCCTCCGGAACAGGGACCGAGACGCTGGCCTCGGCCTCGGGCAGCGCAATGTCAAAGTAGAACGGGGCCGTCGCCACCCCAGTCACCGCGCCGGGCGAGCCTTCAAACTCGCCAGCGATGATGCGGACCGTCGCGCCCGACGCAGACGTCACCTCGGGCACATCCTCCGGCGGAATGTCCTGGTACCGCGGCGGAGTCATCTTCTGCGCAGCCGGCAAGTTGCACCACAGCTGGAAGCCCCACATGAGGCCCTCCTCCATCTTGGGCATCTCCGAGTGGATGATGCCCGAGCCGGCCGTCATCCACTGGACTGAGCCCGGCACCAAGTTCCCGGTGTTGCCCACCGAGTCCTTGTGCTCCATCCGCCCAGCAAGCATGTACGTCACCGTCTCAAAGCCCTGCGCAGCGCCAGCCCGATGTGAGTGATTGCGGGGAGAGGGGGGGGGGGGGGGAGCGGGGGAAGCTACTGTCATCGCGAGCAAACAGGATCTCTGGCTATCATGCTGCCCTCGCCACGTACACGGTGCGGATGGTCGGGAAAGCCGGCAATGTACCCGCTCGGATCGTCCGACTTAAACTCGTCGAGCAGAAGAAACGGATCAAGCGAGTCGAGCTTGCGCGTCCCGATCGTCCGCATCAGCCGCACGCCTGCGCCATCCGACGTCGGCACAGCCTTGATGACCTGCGAGATTCCCCGAAGCGTGGCCGCAGCCGCACTTGCCTGAGCCATGTTGTTGATGATGAGGATGTTGTTGTTATAGATGGTGTCTGTCTCGTCACAGGTGTACAGATCACACGTCACGCCGAGTATCAAGCACGCTACCAGCAGAGAGACCCAGATGGAAGTAATGGTGCTCACGGTGATGGTATGGTGTGTGAGCGTGTGGAGTGTGTGCGGTTGCGTTGAGTCAGGCTGCTGCGTGTCGGGGCTGGCCGAAACACACCTTGTTTTGCGCCCGCCACCGCTCCAATTACGTCATCCCCAGCCACGCGGCCCAAACCAATCAATTGCCAGCCGACCAACCAACGAGCCAACTGCCACGGCTCCCAGCCCGACCTGTCACTGCTCGAGACACGCGTGACCTTTGCCAGGCAGGCATCGCCACCACCACACTCCCCCCCCCTACCCCCTGGGCACCCACACCATGCATCACCTTCTTCCTCTCTTCGCCATCCTGGCCCTCCTTGCGGCCTCTGCAGCCGCCACCGCTCCGGCCAAGTACTCGGTCGAGGTACGCATGCCCCCACCCCCCCCTCCCCCCACCCCCCCACCCCCACCCCACCCCGCATCGCATCCCCACCGCGCCCACTCACCCAACCACCGCCACGGCGACTACCTCCCCCTCCTCCCTCCTCCTCCATCCAGTTCCACACCACGGTCAACAACAACTCGTCGTTCCTTCTCGAGGTCAACCGGGCGGATGCGCCGCTCGGCGCTGACCGGCTGTGGGAGCTTGTGACGCTCGGCTCGCCAGCCGGCTCGGCTTCGTACTACGACCTCAACGGGTTCTTCCGTGTCGTCCCGCAGTTTGTGGTTCAGTTTGGCATCTCGGGCTCACCGGCCGTCTCCAAGGAGTGGATGAACAAGGAGATCAAGGACGATCCGGTCAAGCTCTCCAACACCCGCGGCGTGCTCTCCTACGCTGCCGCCGGGCCCAACACCCGCACCACCCAGCTGTTCATTAACTTTGCCGACAACTCGCGCCTTGACGGCATGGGCTTTGCCGGCATCGGTACCGTCACCCAGGGTATGGATGTCGTTGACGCCATCTACGCCGGCTACCAGCAGGAGCCGAACCAGGAGCTCATCTACTCCCAGGGCAACGCCTATCTCCACAGCAACTTCCCCAAGCTTGACTACATCATCTCCACCACCGCCAAGGACCTCTCCCTGGCTTGAGCATCCTGCATCAGCGCCACCCACGTTGCCCCCCAAAAAACCAAGAAAAGAGAAAGAAGGAGAAAATCGCCAAACAGCTTCTCCCCCCCCCCCTCTCCCCCCCCTCCCCCCCCGCCCGAACAGCCACGTGGTCCCAGGTCACTCCCCGCACCTTTGGGGTGTGTGTGTGGTACGGGGGTGCTTTGCCCCTTCACCCACCTCACCCTCGCGACGGGTCACGTGCACGTCCACTCAGCCCACCACTCTCCCCTCCTTCCTCCTCCCTCCCTCCCCCCCCCCCTTCCCCCCCCCTCTCCCCTCCCTCTCCGTCCAGCAACCCATGTCCGCACTTCCGACCAACGACGAGGGCGAGACGCCACCTGCCGCACTGCCCGCACCTTCCGTCGCGAACGCATCATTTCACGCGTCCTCATCCTCGTCGTCCTCTTCGTCGTCCTCATCGTCATCGTCATCGTCATCCTGCTCAGATGGTTTGTCGTCGGATGGCTCGTTGGTGCTGAGCGGTGATGACGTCGGAGCCGACGCGGTGTTCTTTGAAGCTGCGCAAGTGGCCGAGTTTGGTGACGTTGTCGGCGCCGCGATGGTGAGCGAGGCTGGCCCAGTGGCGCACTCGCTGGCAGAAGTCCAGGTGACGACGGTGCCGACGCGTGCAACAGCTATTGGCACGTCGGGTCTCTCGGTTGCAGTCGCGCATGATCAGGGCAAGCGCAAGACGATGGAGGATGCCGATCTGGTGTGCCTCGACCTGGCCGCCCGCGCCGCATCGTCATCTGCTGCCATGGAGCTGCCTGAAGGCGGTTGGCACGCGCTATTTGCTGTCTTTGACGGCCACTCGGGCGCTGAGTGTGCCAAGTACTGTGCAGACAACATCATTGAGACGCTTGTCTCGGCGCCGGCCTTTGCCGAAGATCCTGAGGCTGCGCTCACGCAGGCGTTTGCTACGCTCGAGACGAGTTGGCTCGAGTCGGCCATTAGCACCGAGGCCGACGACGGAACGACTGCAGTGGTGGCATATCTTCGCGGGACAACGCTCTGGGTGGCCAACGCCGGTGACTCGGAAGCCATCCTCACATGCACTACGGCCGGCATTTCCGAGCTCACCACCTGCCACAACCCAGCCAAGAACCCGGCAGAGCGCGAGCGGGTGGCTCAGCTGGGCGGGACGGTAATGCCCAACGGACGGCTTCGGCACCCGGTCCTTCCGGGCTCGATGTTCTCCATTGCAGTCTCCAAAGCGCTCGGCGATCTCACGTTCAAGCATGACCAGTACACCAAAGGCAAGCCGTCGGGCCTGACGGCCGTGCCGTCTGTCAACAAGATTGAGCTCACCGACGACGCACACTTTGTGCTGATGGCTTGCGATGGCCTGTGGGACGTCATGGCCTTTGACGTGGCCGCAGGCTTTGTCGTCCGCCGGCTCAATTCGGGCCTCGACGTGCAGGCCATCGTGGACCAGCTTGTGGCGCGGGCAATTGACTTGGGCTCGATGGACAATGTGACAGCCCTGCTCATTGTGTTTGATCCGTAGCTTGTGACTCGCTCTGCAGCTTGCTGCACCTAAATGCGATAGGTAGGAAAGGGCTACTCGTCACGATGCCGCCGGCGGGCGCCCGACGAGGTCTGCGGCCGAGCGCCCGACGACGGGCGAGCTCGCGGGCGGCGCGACGGCGAGGCCGACGACGGACGCATACGCGACTTGAGAGGCGAGCTCGGCGTCTTGCCTGGCGAGTCCGAGACAAGAACTGAGAGCGAGAGCGGATTGGGGTTCTCTGGCAGTGCGGTGCGGATGGCGGCGGCGTCGGCGGCAGAGAGCGAGGCCTTGGCTGCCTCGTGCTCGGCAATGAGGCCCGAGTCAGCTACGACCGACCAAACGCGAAGGGTGTTGTCGCGTGAGGCCGTGACCAGCTTGTTGTCGTTAAAGCCAAGGGCCGAGACCTCGGACGTGTGGCCGTAGAGCGTGTACATCGGCTCGTACGCGTTGTCGTACGCCGAGCCGCCGCCAGAGCCGAGCTTGACGTCGCGCCGATTCCACAACCGGACAGTGCCGTCGGTCGAGCCAGCAACAAGCTTGGCGTCGTCAAACTGAAGGCACTTGATGCGGTGCAGTGCGCCGGTGAAGTTGGCGACAGGTGCCGACTTGCCGGCCGCCAAGTCCCACGCCTTGACGAGGCCGTCGTGCGAGCCAGAGAACATGGTGGTGCCGTCAACTTGGCAGCACGAGACCACGTCCGAGTGGCCCTTGAACGTAGCAACGCATGCCTCGCGACCGGACGCGCGCATATCCCACATTTTGAGATGGTAGTCAGCCGAGGCCGAGATCACCAGCGGCGACGACGAGAGCACGCCATCGTTGACGAGCTGGACATCGTACACGCCCGAGGCGTGCCCCTGCAGCACGTTGAGGCATGCCGTGGTGTTCATGTCCCACACCCGGAGCGTGGCGTCGTTAGAGGCCGAGACCACCTTGTTGCCGGCAAAGTCGGGCGCGATGGACCACACTCCACCCTTGTGGCCCTCGAGCTGTGCGAGGCACTTGCCCGACGAGAGCGAAAAGACCCGCGCGAGGCCGTCCCAGCACCCGGTGACGAGCACGTCAAAGGCGGTCGAGTAGCGGAGCGAATAAATCCACGACGAGTGATGGGTGTCAATAGACGACATTCGCTCGCCCGAGTACAGGTCGGTGACGTAGACGCTGGTGAAGCCGCCGGACACGATCTTGCCAGAGCGAGCGACGACGTCGTCGTCAAAGTCAAAGCACCGACGCGGGACGGCGTCGGCGAGCACGCTCTGCGCAAACAGACCGCGCTCCCAGCCGGCGTCGACAACGTAACGCTCGCGAAAAACGTCCTTCCAGAACACCAGCGAGTCTGCGGCATCTGATGCCGATGCCGCCAGAGCACGAGCCTCCTCCTGGGCCACAAGGCGGGCACGAACGTGCATGGGCCAGCCGGCCTTGCAGTAGCCCTCCCACAGCTGCTGATCTTCAGCGCGAGCGCGCCACGCCCGTGACACCTGTGTGGCCTTTGCCAGCGTCCGCATGTCGAGATACAGCAGGATGGAGCGGACGATGTTGCCCGGCAGCTCTGCTACAAAGTCGCGCTTGGAGGCGAGCGGGAGCCACGCAGTGAGGGCGGTGAGGAGAGTGAGCGAGAGCGAGGTTATGAGCGTGTAGAGGGCCACTAGTTGGGTAGCCACATCCCACGAGGTAAACTCATCGACCCAGACACGAACATGCACAGGAGGAGGGACGGCGCCTGGCGGGGGATACGCCGCAGGTGGCAGCGAGTACTTTGTCTCGCCATCCGCCGCCACATACGGATGCGCAAACGAGACTCCGCGCTTTCGCCGTCGATGACCCTGAGCATGTCCACCTCCTCCTCCATGCCCATGCCCATTCCCATGCCCATGTCCATGTCCATGTCCACCACCTCCGCCAGCTCCTCCTCCACGCCCCGCATGCCCTCCTGCTCCCGCCATGTGTCCTCCATTGCCTCTTGCTCTTGCTCCGCTACCAGACATGCTCCAGTCCGTGGCCCGTCTTCCTCAACTTGCTCCTTCGCGTTATCCTCTTCCTGGACTGGACGTCGAGTGTGGTCGCCACGCACCAGTCGCTGTCGTTGGTGTCGTTGTTGCTGTTGTTGGTGTCGTTGGTGTCGTTGGTGTGCCGCGCGTCGCGTTGCTTTGGTCGGTTCGTCGGTTGGTGACCTGACCAG